AAATAGGGTAAAATTAAGTTTTAAAATAGGAATGATAGAAAAAGAATTTTTCAGGAAACATGCTTATCTGAAATAAAATGTACGGAACAAGACGAAAAAGCAACGAGAAAACGTCAACAAATTGTTAATCTTGAAATGAACCTTGCAAAAATGTTCGCCTTTTTCATCTTTTTAGATAATTATTTAATTTTCAAATTATTCCATAATTATGACTAACTTTAACAGAATTGTTTCCTTTTCTAATGAATTCAATTCATTTCGGATAATAATCTAATAATTTCAATTCATTTCGGATAACAATCTAATGAATTCAATTAATTTCGGATAATAATTCAATTCATTTCGGATAATAATCTAATAAATTCAATTCATTTCGAAAAATAATCTAATAAGTTCAATTCATTTCGGATAATAATTCAATTCATTTTGAATAACAATCTAATAAATTCAATTCATTTCGGATAACAATCTAAAAAATTTAATTTATTTCGGATAATAATTCAATTCGTTTTGGATAATAATCATAACAGTTAGTATAAGGAAGTTAAAATGATCAAAATGTTAAGCATTCAATTGATCATCCTTTTGAATTATCAGAATATGTTATACTTATCACATATAACTACACAACATTCCTGATAATTTTTTTTCCGAATAAATTTACCACTTAGAAAAACTAGACAACATTTTCCTTCTTTAAGCTAATGAAGCTTACTTTGATTAATTATTTAAGGCAAGATATTGAAAATATGGAGGATTATGTTGAATTGAGATTGTTACGAACACAACAATTAAAAAATTCTTTGTTACAATTTGTTGAACTTGATGATTTGGTTTGTTTTATCATCATAAATTATCTCTAATTAATATCAAATTAATCCAATTAATCATTGTCTGCTAATTAAAAAAAAAAAACTTCACTTTATCAGAATGATATCATCTTTAAATTGCTATCCTACTAATATATCATTTGCGTAATTCTCATTTTATTCAATATATAATTCCATATTATTAATTAATAACCAAAATTTTGAAATTATCAAATTCAGATTAATTTAAAATGTATTCATTTTAGTGATAAAATTTAAATTGAAATTTTAGATAGTACCACCAGATGATGGAACTTTTCAAAATGATATATTACTAACAGTGCAACAATCTAATCATCTAATTAAATCAATTACTAATCCGAATATACGACGAAAACGACAATCATTGTTTTTGGATGATTTTCCAAGCGAAAAATGGGATGTTAGTAAACCGATTAAATATGTTTTCGATTCATCTCTTGGTTCGTAAAATAAATTAATTAAATTTATGCAAAAATTTTAATATTTATATTAATTTGCTTTTTCTCCTTAAAATACAATAAAATTTAATAAATAAAAATATTACAATTATTATTCATAATAAATAATAATTAAATGATATAATACTAAATTATGATGTAATTTTACGATTAACTTATCGATTATGCTATCATATCAATGATATTATCTTATATATTGTTTCATCTTTAAGAAAAAACAAAAAAAAAAGAAAGGTATTTTAATGAAAAAAAAAAAAAGTAATTACAGAAATAAACGACAGAGAGTTAGTAATGAAAGCATTGGAACATATTGAATCACGAACATGCATAAAATTTGAATATATTGCAACACATCCTAATGAATCACATTTATATTATATCAAAAATTTTGAACCTGATATGTAAGTAATTATTTGAATTAACAATGAAATTATTTGTTAAAATTATTCAATTCAATTATGTTACAATGATAGAATTTTGCAGTTGTGGTTTGAGCTATATTGGTCGTATAGGTGATATCAATCCAATCTATTTAAGCTTCGAATGTAAAGATGTAAATTTTTCAATCTATTACAAAAAATAACATTTATTAGCCTATGTAGTCGATGGATTTTTTTTATGGTGAAGTATAGCATGTGTGAAATTGGTCTAATCGTTTTTACTCCTAAGATTTATCTATCTGTTTAGCAAGCTTAAATGATAACAGCAAAGTCTTCAAGACATCAATTTTTGTCCAATATTCTTTTCTTAGATGAATATGATTTTACAGGATTAAACATGCTTCATCTACCCGCATTTGGCGTTAATGTCATCGTCCTCTTAGGATGATTTTCGGGTGGTTAACGAACCTATCCCGCGTTTGGCGTTAAAGTCATCCTCCTCCTAGGATGGTTATCGGGAGGTTAACGAACCGATTCTGTCTCTGAAAACACATTATTGACTTTCAATTAACTTTTTCAATGTCTAACACTTTCAACTAAGACCTGTCTGGTATGGAAGATAGAAGACCCTACCGAAGGCATATGTCACCATCGCATAACTCATAACCTTATTGGGACACACAAGCTTCTTTTCGCGACAAAGATTTTGCGAGGAGATGTCCATTATATATATAATATTTATTAAATGCATATTTTAAAATTTTAATTTATTTAAAAAATTTTTTGTGCAAAAGTTTTGTCAAAATTTTATTCGAATAAAAATTTAGTTAAAATATTGCATTTTATGAAAACTAATTCCAATTAATACAATTAATTAATTTATATTTAAAAAAAATAAAAATATTAGTCATATGTAAAAGCTTACGGTAATACTGCTAAAATAATTGTTGTGTAAAGGTATGAATTGATTTGTATGATAATATTTAGTCTAGCTAATAAACGTTGGATTAAATGAATGATCATCGATAGTTAGAGCTTATTATGTATAATTAACACAATTTCCTATTTAACTTGAATGAATAATTGCTATTATTAATTAATCAATTACCTTGATAACATTTCAAATTAAGATATCAATTAACTCTGATGTGTATTTATATAATTTTTAATCTTTCGTAATTAATAAATGATACTTCTTTTATTGCTAAAACTTGATATAAAATTAATAAAAATTTGCAATTAATAAAATTTTTTAGCAATATGGTATAATAATTCATGAAACATTGCATTCATTGGGTGTAAATCATCAAATGTTACGATCAGATCGTGATGATCATATTATTATTAAATGGGAAAATATTAATCCAAAATTGTATGATTATTTTGCTATATCTGATTCAAATATATTTACAAGGTTAATTCAATTCTATTCATTTCATATTAATCTTAAAAGTATGACGAAGATAAATACGATAAAAGCAAACTTTTACATTGAAAATTTTTCGAACTAATAATTCACTACAACGATACCGTAAGTGTATGCGAATGAGTTACAATTATGGTATAAGCTATGATTATTACAATATGAATGACTTAAAACTATAAGTTTAAGCTATGGTATGAATGTGAGTTGCAGGTTAATAGTATAAGCTATGATTATTACAGTATGAATGAGCTATAACCATTACAGTATATGAATGAATTCCAGTTGTATTGTAAGCTACAATTTCATCACAATATGATGAAGTTACAGTTATGGTGTAAGTTATGATTACTATAGTATCATGCATTATGGACCATATGATGGAGCAGTTAATCCAAAAAAGCCAACTGTAATACCAAAACAACAAAGTGAACGATTTCTTAAAGTAAGCAAAAAATTAGATATTTTATAAAATTTTAAAAAGATTTAAATTTGTCAAGTTAAATAAACAAATTGTTGGTTTTATTTTTTTTTATTTTTATAAAAATTATTTCAGATTATTGGTCAACGGAAAGGTTTAAGCGACAAAGATGTTGAATTACTAACAGCTATGTATTGTAATAAAGGTATGCTTTAATTTAATAATTAATCATATCTAAAAAGATTTTTTTAAATTAATTATATCAAAATGGAAAAAAAAATGATAATATTCTAAAATGTACGAAAGAAATTATTATATATATTTTAAAAATTATTTACAATTTTAATCAATAATTAATAAGAAATTGAAGGAATAATTTTGTACAATTTTAGGATGTATTGATCGAAATGTTTATTGTGGTATTTGGGCATTGAAACAGTTATGTACAAATAATGATTGGATAAATGAAAATTGTCACAAATCATGTGGTTTATGCTAATTTTAGCATTTTTTAAATTTATTATTGCTTAAAAATTTTTTTTTAAATATTTGCTTTTTTTATTGTTTTTTTTTTGCTAAGAATTATTTTTGCAAATATTTATTATTTCATTTTGGTAAAGTAGTAAAAAAAAAGAAATTTATGTGTTCTCAGTAATTTAAAATTCATTAATTAAATATATTAATTGAATATAAAATATATTTTGTTATCATTTGTTAAAATAGCATAAAATAAATTAAGTGTATATAAAAAATGTATGTTTCAGTGTTATAATATCAAATGTTAAATGTAAAAATTAGACATTTATTGTAAAATTAAATTAAAAAAATTGTCCATTCATTGTCCAAAAAAATCGTCCATTCACTGTCCAGGAAATTGTCCATTCAAAAATTGTTCATATAAAATTCGAAAATTGTCCATTCAAAAATTATTCATGTAAAATTAAAAAATTGTTCATTTATTTAAAAAACAAAAAAAAAAACGACCAATTTTCAAATTACAATTTTTTGGTGAAAATTATAAATTTCATTTTGTTTTTTCTATTAGCTAACTGTAATTTTATTCAATTAAAATTTTGCTTTTCTATTAAAAATTTATAATTTCTTTTTTTTCAATTTCAGGTAATCAATTTAAGGTTATTTTAAAAAAAGAAAAATAATAATAATAATAATAATAAAATCTCCAAGATTGTTTGCTATTACACAAATTTTGCTCTTCCTTCTATTGATTTATTTGTTTGTAATTATTCAATAAATATTTATTTACTCATTTCATTTACTGCCTATATTCTTTATTAAATTATTCGATTCATAGTCGAAAAATTTGAAAGAACACAAAAAAAAAACTGATAATATTAATTTAATTAATAACTTAATTAATTTGAAAAAAGGAAGCAAAAATAAAATTATATGCTTAGCTAAAATTTTACAAAAATTTTTCCATTGTTTGCTTTATTTTCTTTTCAATAATATTACATTATGATAGAATGTATAATTTTTGAATCACTAAATTTTATAAATTTTTAAATCACTGAACTTTTTCTTTTTTTTTCAATTCATTAAATTTTATTAATCGAAATTACCTGTACCTGGCTCCCTCTCTCCCTCTCTCTCTCTCTCTCTCTCACAAAATCTCTTCCAAAATAAATGAATCATTAAAGCAAATTTTAACTAATTGTAAATTTTACCAGAAGTTTAGAATATAAAATTAACCGTAAAAAAAATAATTTACAAATATAATTTTTCTTTTTTTTTTTCTCAAATAAAATTTGCTCAAATTTTATCAAAATGAAAATGATATTGATGATATGAATGAAAATAATACCAAATCGTGCAATTATCGAAACGTTTACCTTTCTAAAATAAAAAGAAAAATCAAAAAAAAATTAAAATTCGATTGAATTATTAACCAAAACTAAAATTTGATTGAATTATATTTAAATTGAAAATTAATTGATTAACAATTAATAGAAGTGTAATGTAAAATATGGTTAACACAAAGGTCAAAGATCAATGTTGCGCATCTTATTTCGCTGAAAAATTTTCCAGTAATACATACCAAATGAATGCTAAATTTTCTTTTATTTATTTATTTATTTATTTTTGTCTGAGAAATGCTGCAAAGATGACGCGAAAGAATCGAAGGATAGGAAAAGAGAATGAGGAAAAAGAAAAAAAGAAAAGAAAAATGAAAAAAGATAATATGTTGCAATTATAACAAGTTGAAGTTTTTTTCTTCCTTTCTTTTCCTCCAATGAAATAAATATTAATTAATTAAATACTTTAATAGAAAAAAAAGTTTAAAGATAAATACAAAACATTTCATTTTTGTTAATTTAAAAATTATTAATTTAAATAAAAATTTGATGAAAATAAATTAAATTATTTATGAAAAAAGGAAAAGGAAAAAGGCAAAAACTTCAATTTGTTATAAATGCAATAAATATTTTTCCAAAATTAATTTGTTACCTTTTTTTTTTAAATTAAAATATTATTAAAAAAAAAAAATGTTATACCGTATTAATAATTAATTTATTCGTATACGCATATAAAATTTGAAATTTACATTTCAATTATAACATATTAATTACTTGTTACGGTATATAATTTTTTACAGTGTTTTTGTGTAAGTTAATTGAATTTAATAACGCATTCTATTAATCGATGATTGCATTTCCTTAAAAAATTTTCAAATATGAAAATTTAATTGATTTAAACATTTTCAATCCCATTTATTTGTTCCATAAAATGTAACAATTCTTTATTGTTGTTGTTTTTTTTTTTTAATTAAAAATCATTCAAAACTATTTGTTAATTAATTTATTCTTTTATTTTTACACTTAATTATGCATTCGAAACATTGACATTTGTTTTATTTGAATGAATTTTTCTTCATTTATTTAACGGTAAAAAAAAAAAAGGAACCATTACATTTTTGATTGTTTCGGACAGTCAACTCGATATGCGCTCATTACTCCATGATAAAAATTTCTGATGGTTAACCTTGGAATTTTTATACATTTGTTTCATGAATTTTATTTAAAACACATTAAATTGGATTAAATTTTCATCGTTTTTGCAAAAGGACGAA